TGCCATTTCTACAAAGTACAAAACAGTAGAAATAACTGATTATAGGCAAGAATAAGTTCAATTCAATCGTATTTTGAAACCAAAATATGTCACTGAATATAATAAAAGCATGATTGGAATTAATCGCTAATTTCTTTTCCTAATATGAGATAATATATGAAAATATATAGAAAATTTTTCTTATATACATTCGACAAGGCACTTTATAATAGATATATACTATACGAAACAATAAATAAAGAAAAGTAACAAAGTTACACTGAATATAGAATAAATATTGTAGAATTATTATTAAAAACTGCACAATTAGTGGATTATGAAAAACGATTCAGAATAACTTATCGAATAGCAATAAACATCACGAAAACTATAGATGCAACATTGGGCTCATTTTTCAAAGAATATAAAAAAACAATAAAAAAAAAACAAGAAAATAAAAAATAATTTAACAATATCAAAAACTAAATAAGAGTTTATAAAATTAGTGAAAAATATAAGAAACGCATTGAAACAACATGGAAATACAAAAGATGCCAAATTGTGTTAGATGCATCATACTGCAAAGATATCACACGATTATAAATTTTTTCCAAACGTTAGAAATTAAAAATAAGTATATCTTCACAAATTGAAATAGAATGTTACTAGTACTTCTAGGCCAAAAATTATTTCATTTTACTGGTTGAATTGTTTTCGATTATTGCATCCAAAGAAGATCTCGAAAGGCTTACTCTTTGTGTTATGATGTCTGATTATATTATAACGTTTAACTGCATATGCAAAAATATTTATTCAAATTAATCAGATTTTATTGTTTTTATAATAATTAATGTCGTTAACATCCACATAATCGGCAAACATTAAAGCATGCATAGTCAAAACACTGCAAAAGCCAACGGGTGAGCGATTTCATCACCAACTGTGACAACCAATCGTACTTAAATCACACTGCAAAGAGTTATTGCCTGACTCGTATTAATTAAATGACTCATTAATAAAACAAGAAAATAGTATCCTAAGCTAATGAAGCTAGACTATGCCCAATAAAAAAACAATTAAAATTGTATCATTTAAGAGTAAACCTAAAAAATTAATGATTAATGGCTATGCTATGTTCATCAGCAATTAATAGAAAAAATTACAACCAGTAACTCATGTCAAGTCGAATCTTTCATCCTCGACATAATATATATAGGAGGCACTTAAATTTGTTCACTCACTGCTTAAGAAGATCCACAATAGCTCCAAAACACTCACCCAGTTGTAGCTCGAAATTTATGTAAGGTGTTCCATAATAAGTCCAAAATGAAATAAATCGACGTAGATGGAAAATTAATTCGATTGAATTTGTAATACATTGACTTAATGACAATGCAAATCTGAAAAAAGATTAAACACAATTTTTATTAAATTCTTCGTAATAAAAAAGATTGTAGAATTGTATTGGCTATTAAATTTAAACATTTATTTACCAATATTCTTCTATAGAAGTGTACTAGGTCCTTGATCATCTTCCATGATGCACTGACTCAAATATGCAATAATTATTTAATAATTAAAAGATAAACAATGAATTTAATTCGCGAATATCTATTACTTGTTTTATATACAAGTATCTACAGTATGTCTGATTGTAGAAAAAAAGAAATAAAATTTTAGACGAACAAATATTGACTCTATGACTGCTTTGCGCCCAAATTATTCATACACACATATTTCTAAAAGTTTTTGAACATCATTAAACGCAAACAAATTTAAATTAACCGAAAAACATTAACAACGAATATACTTCACAATTCCTTCTTTATTTTATCAAAACAAAGATCGATTCATCTATGGCTGCACAAACAACTGCAATCATAATCTGAAAAAAAAACAATATCAGTATTATTGTACAGTACAAAAAAATCATTAAAAGTATATAGTCAAAAAATAAAAAAATATTTGAATTCTTACTAATAAAAAGTAATAATGAAATAAACGAGAACATTATAACGGTAATAAAAAGAATTAGAAAATAACATCACCTATGAATCATAGTATTCTCTAAAAAATATTAATAATGTTCACGATGCGAATTATTTTATAATAAAAATACATAGCATAATTATTAGTAATTATGATAATTATTAATTATTCTAAAATAAAATATAGTTAAATTTTCACTGGTATAATTAAGACGCAAATACTTATACAACAGAAGAATAGCCGAGAATGTTATTGCGAGTAGGTATCGTATCATTCTGAGAAAGAGAGGTAACCTATACCCATCCCTGCTACAAATTTCTCGTAAGTTCGTACACGAAAACAAATTTACGAGAACAATTACTGATATTATTTCCTAGGACGTAATACAAGATTTATTCATATTTAACGTACCCTAATACATCAAAACATACTTGACCTTTTTTATTAACAACACGCTTAGCTTACTTCGACTACATAAGAAAAACAGCAAAATATAATACACGACCTTCACTGTGTTTCCAACTTCGTCGATTCATAGAATTTTATGTATTATTGTATATATACAAAATGTGTATGTATGTTACATATAATATATAGTACCCAATATACGTAGTATGTATTATAACATAAAAGATAATATAATATTCTTTTGACAACAACACAAGTTCTTACAAAATGTCCTTTCTTGTCTTTCAAATCCTACCATTTTCTTCCGATCTATTTACATATATTTATCCTTAATTTATATTATAAATAAGATAGCATTCGCAGTCTTATGTATTATATCATGCGCTTAACAATAACAATTCCGAACGAAACAAGTCACTCGCTCGCTAATGAGACAAAGAAATGCCTTAATTTTGAGAATTCTACATATGTACTTGTGCGTATCTGTAATAAATGTATGAACATACACATATTTACCCATGACGAGTCATACACACAACGTGTACGTGTGATATTAGTATTAGTATTCATGTATAGTATCTATCAGGAATATACACATATGTATATATATGTACGATATATTAAGTACGTATATGTATGTACACGAATATATACGATTTGGATAAAAATCGAATATAACACATAATACGATCAGTCAAGATTAATAATTGATAAATTGTTATATTCCGTTCAATGAGTCATCAGTAGAAATAAACATGCGTGACTAGTATAGAACCGTATTTACAACTTTCAGACCCTTCTTCAACAATCTGCCAGTAATCCGTCATTCGTCTAGTAAATCCGAGAAATCGAAACTAGCTATTAAAACCCATTTTCAATTCTAAATTTTACAGTTAACTATCGATAGTAGTTTAACAGCCAATAGCTGATGTCCATCGCATCTATCAAGTGCCTAGCAAGCGAATGTTTAGTTTATTTTTATTCGACTTTTTGAAAAGGACACGAACTAAGTCATCTTAAAACTTGAGAAGCAAACATATCACAAAAATAAAGGCCAGAAATTCGAGAAAAATATGACGCAATAGCATGGCGATGAAAACATGTAAACGGTAATTTTATTTTCGCCAACATTTCAGAAACGCAATATTTTCTTGACTTGCAAACACTATGTCGTAGAAATCTCATGTTTGGTGATCGATTATGTATATTGGACGAATAAGTAACTTAGAAAAAAAATTCTTAATTACCTGTAATTATGAGATGATAAAACTTCGTCATCACATACGGATCCAAACTGGTCTCAGCGATGCCGGCAACAAGAATGACGAAGACCTATCTATAGAGCACCACCTTTTAAACATTTTATACTAATATACAAGCAAATAATAAATCGAATAATAAGTAAAATTATCTATGTAATAAATTTGAATATCTTTTGTAAATATTCTGAAGAAACAATATATATTTCTATCTATTCATTTTTATCTATAAGAGTTTAATAATATAGTTATAATAGTATAGTATACTTAAATTGTATAATATAGTTAAAATATTATATAATTGAAATAAAAGATTAAAATTCGGTATCATCAGAAATGTTTAATCGTTTTCTAAAAGAAAGTGATGCTTTTCGTGAAGAACTAATAATTTTCAATAAATAACTATGTCTTTCTAAAAGAATAATCTAAAAGAATAAAGACTTACACAAAACCTTCATTATATATAATATATTTGTTCGACATTTAATTTTTTTACTGTGATCCTTTTTCTTTAACTTCATCCTCTACAAATCGATTTCTTTTTCGTATATATAAACAGAATTGTGTAATGTAAAAGTTATAATATTACTTCTATAACTATACTATTATATATACACAATTAATATTATATGCAAACAATTATATTATTATTATTATTATTATTATTATATATATATATATATATATATATATTAAGTATAACACATATTTATTAAACATATGAAAAGCTTTACATATAAAGTAAGAATTTCTTTTTTACTGATGAAATAAAATGAAATTTTCAAAATACAGATGAGCCTTAAATATAATTTTAAAGTTATATAACGTTGCATAATGTTATTATATAATGTTGCATAAAGTTATATAACGAATTAATGGCAAAAAATATGCAGAAAGAAAGTTTTAATAAATTAATATCCTACCCAAAAAAAATAACTAATCTACGTTCTTAGACCAAAATTTTTATACATATATACTTACTTGCTTTTACTATATATGAAGAGAAACAAAAAATAAAACACCTGTTTTTTGTTCAAGATTACATCATGAAATTAACTCTTCTTTCTTCTACCATCTTCTTCGTCCTTACAACTGATAGTAACTGACGACAGTACTGACGAGACTTCTCGTGGACCTTCAGAACTGAAATAAGCATAACAGATGATGAAAAGAACAAAGAGCCTAACTGATTGGCCGCACATGCGCATCAACATCACGTATCGCACACATGCCCGCACGTACACGCACGCGCGCGTGTTCTATTCGATCGACTTGTGTGCTCTTTATTATATATATGCAAGTGTGTGTGTATCATTCTATGTATATATATATATATGTACACAAATAGAAATGTATTATCCTAAATGTATATATTGCGTCGTGTGAGAGTTTTTCTAAATACGCGTCTCTAACAGAGATTAGATCAGCGATAATAATTGATTTGTACGGAGAATCTTTCCCCGTCCTTCCTAATCGTCAGAGTTATAGATTAACTAGTCGCTATGAATAAGAATCAGCGTAAGGCTAGGATACCATTGGAGTTTATTAATGCAAATTAATGGGAGAACGCGCATCCTTTTGTAGGATCCCGTGGAGCTTGTGAGGTAGATAACAAATATAATGTGAATTGTTGTTATCACAATATATTTGTTGAAATAAGATACAATTGTTGCTCTTGTATAATAACGTGTACTTATGTTGTTGCTGTTTAGAATGTGCTGGATAGCCCCGATTGAGGCATAGCCAGTGATATTGATAAGACTCGATTATTTTACTGCTAAGTGAAAATGCTTTGTTGCGATTAACTGTAGATTTCTCACGAACTATCCACGAACGCATTAATAAATTAGGAAAGGAAAATGGAAAGAAAGGAGTTTAAGTAAAAAGTCTTAGGAAAGGAAAACAATATCCTTATTAATTATATGCGTGTCAAAATAATTTATTCGAAATGTTTAAACATTTTCATGTGTGATCCTTTGTCCTGGTGACCGTGTGGACTCATGAGTTGCATTGATATTTGAAGGATAAGCGCCAGACAAACCCTTGGCTCATCGCACCTAAGAGTCTACTTTCACAGCTTATTTACTGCCCATTTCGACATATTATTGAAGACTACGTACTTGACTAAAAATGTCAGAATTCAAACAAAAGTGGTAATATGTTTTTTATCTATGTTCATTCTTAGCGAGTATTCAAGGAGTTCCCAAAAGCAGATATTTCAAATAGTAATATATATAACCCTTAAAAAAAGTATTGTGAATAACTGAGGGATACACGTGTACGTCACAGTATATGATACACATATACATAGATATATATAATAGAAAGATATATTTTGTACATATATATATATATATATATATATATATATATACACATACACATATACAATAATTCATTTTTGTATATTTTTACATCAATCTATAATGTATTACATAAAATATTCATATTGTTACGCTATTAGTTTCCATTTCGAAGAATCCATCCTTCATTGCCCTCTAAATCACATTAGATACTTAGAAAAAAATCTTACAAAGAAAAATGTCTGTTGACTCATAAAACACTCGTTATAAGCATGTCTAAGAAAGAAATAAAATAAAAGGAGCTAAGAATAAAAAGTGATTGTTATAATAAATAATTTTGAAAAGAATGCAAAATTTAATTGACAAGAATTTGACTTAACAGACGAATTTACATATATGGCTTCTTTAATCATACGTCATATATATATATATATATATATATATATATATATGCGTGTGTGCGTACATATATACACACACACACTTATATACGCGCGTGTACACGAGTGTAAAAAAATTTCGCCTTGTCAACAAGAAATAATACAATGGCAACTCAAGATCGAATAGGACACTTTTTTTGAACGTTGCGAGGAAATTAAAATTGTTATTTACAATCTACGGTGAAGGTGAAATATGAACCTAAAAGAGAAAGAAATCGGTAAAGCATTATTTATCGGCAATCGAAGGAGAAAATAAGATACATATTCTCATATAAGTTTTACGTAATGCTATCTAATACTATAAAACATTAATTATATAAATGAATAAAGAATTAATATTATACACTTGCTAACTATTTTATTCTATTCTAAATGGTATTATAAAAATATTTTTAACAATAAAATGTTTAAAATTTTCAATTACACTTTATACTATAATCTGTTTATCAGAAATTGAAAACACAATATGTCATAATATTAAACCATTTTAACATATTACGTACCAGACATCTTATTACTAACCCTCTTTTTTCGCATAAAATATTTTTAAATCTCTAACATCGTCATATTAATATTTGTTTTCAACAAATAATTTGAAATTATATGCGTTTTTGATATAAATTGTGAGTATTAAAATCTTTTTAAAGTATGATATTTAGTAAATAAAACGAAACTCCACATAGCCTGCAAACATAGCGCATTTCACTTCTTTTGCTTGTAATGTAAGTGATCTGTACATAAAGCAATATTTGAAACTTCGTAAGGAAAAACTTTATATCTTATTTTATTTTCAGTATCACGCATTTGAAATATTCTATATAAATTAAAAATATTACGATTAATCTGGTAGAATTTTTAACTATTAACTCTCATTACTAATCTATTAACTCATAATACCACTCTTGCTTAGTACGTAGAAAATGTGAAATATCTTGTCATTGCTCCATGTTGTCTTAACAATTGACACATCAAAAACATTTTAATATATTATAATTATATTTGGTGTTATTTCAATCATTATTATTATTTTATAATTTTCTTATGTAATTTCATAGATGAGATATTTTTATTGTCAAATTATGAAGTTTTTACTCATCAATCACTCTATATACATACATCTTCGAAAATTCTGCATTTTTACAAGATTATTTACTTATATATATTTTTCTGTTAAAGAACACAAAGTTAATTTGTCATTTTATGTAACAAATTGTTAAAGAGTTATCTTATGATTATATATTGTCAAAACATCTTCAAGAAGATAATTTTCAAAGTATAAAAATACGACTGTATAAGAATTCGCAACGCACTAATATACGAAATTGATGTATAATTTTATAAAATATTCATCATTAATACGGAAAAATTAATGATTCTGAACGTGGCATTAAATTAAAAATGGAAAAAGGTTGTATTTAAAAAAAGGAAGGATATAGATTAATAAGAAAATATGCGGCTATGGAAAAAATTGTGTTTCTTTTCTTATTAATGAAACGACTTTTCTGGTTTTGATATAAGGGCCAAAGTATTGGCCTTGCAATTTCATATCTTTTAACATTTCCTTATAGAAAATTTGAAACTATACAGACAGCAATAGCATAAGTCGTAAAATAAAAAAATCTAATTTATTTTCAAGTGAAATTCATGATGATATTTCAAAACAATATTAATTATTTATATAAATGTATTAATTAGATTACCCTATGCAATGGAATATGTTTTAAACATTTATATATTAGGTTAGTGCGTATGAATTGTCGGATTTTCTTTAAATGTGAACGTTTGTCTCCCTGTTTTTGTTATGCTTTTGTTTTTTACATAACCTGGTTTATAGTCGTACTGTCCATTGCCAGAATCATATTTTAGTAAAGAAGATTTTCTCAAAAGTGTTCCCTTTTGTTATTTGCTTTGAATTTTGCACCGATATGAATTCATCCGATATTCGTGTAATTTTCTTATATGAGTATAAACTTGGTAATAATGCTGCAAAAGCTGCACGCAATATAAACCAGGCGTTTAGGGAGAATACTGTGAACGATCGAAAAGTGCAGCGTTGGTTTAAAAAATTTCGGTCTGATGATTTTTCCCTGCAAAATGAACCGCGTGGAAGACTCGAAACGTCTGTGAAAAATGATGCTCTGAAAGCATTGGTGGAAACGAATCCAATTGTTGTTTCTTCAAGGGAACTTGCTGTCAGAATGGAAGTTGACCATACAACAATATTGCGACATCTTTCTGAAATTGGCATGGTGAAAAAAATGGATAAGTGGATACCGCACGAATTAACCGAGCGAAATAAGCTGGATCGCTTGAACGTATGCTCATCATTGCTAACCCGATTTAATCGAGATCCATTTTTCGATCGGATCATTACTTGTGATGAAAAATAGGTTCTTTACGACAATAGACAAAGGTGTGCTCGGTGGCTTGATAGGAATGAGGCTTGTGTTCATACTTCACGACCATCACTTCATCTACGGAAAATTTTAATCACAGTTTGGTGGAATGTAACTGGAGTAATATACTACTCATTCCTTCGAACTGGAATGACAATTACAGCCGAAAAGTATTGCCAGTACATTGAAGAAATGCATGAAAAATTGAAAATTATACGCCCATCACTTATTAATCGGCATGGCCCAATACTTCTCCACGACAACGCTCGGCCGCATACATCGTACAAAACAATTGCAAAATTAAATGAATTAAAATATGAAATTTTGCAGCACCCACCTTATTCACCGGATCTTTCGCCAACCGACTTTCATTTATTTAAACATTTAGAACTGTTTTTACGGGCTAAACAGTACGAAATGAAGACAGTCTGAAAAATGCCATATTAGAGTTCATTGATTCTAAAGATCAGAATTTCTTCAAAACAGGCATCTATGCATTAAAATCTCGTTGGGAAAAGTTTATTGAAGTAAATGGAGTATATTTTGATTAAATAAACAGCTTTTAGAAAAAGATATGCAGTTTAATATATTCACTTAAAAATCCGACATTTCATTTGCGCCAACCTAACACTTATATTAGAATCAAACGATATCTGGTCCAAAGACACATTCGTCTGTTGAGAAAGCTCACGTTTTCTCATGAGAACGAACATAAATTTGTAACTTATGTATTGTATTTACATTTTATCATGTTTTTATTCATAATAAATAAAAATTATAGTAATAATAATAATGATCTACAATCTTAGAACGCACATATGTAACGGAACATATGATATGTACACTTTGAGGTTCAAAACCTAATCTTTCCAGCTCAGACAAAACTCTATTTTGTAGATGATCAATAAAAAGCAATTATTTATGACTTTCATGCAACTGAGATTTACCATAACAGCTTAACTTAACAACTTTGTTTATGATAATATATGATGATAGTGATATAAAAACAAAGAGAATATTTTGTTTTTTGTAATAAAATGTATGTAATACTTTTATTGTCTTCAGAATTACTGGTATTTGTATTCAAATTTTTCAGTTTCATTTAAAACACTCATAAATCTGTGTTTATTTTTTATTACGGTATGACCATCATTTATAACAAATGTAACTAATAATATAAAATATAACAATATACAATTTTCAACTCTTTATTTTTCAGTATTATTCAACAGTATTATTTAACAAATAAATATACACATTGCTTTTAACTAGAAAAGAACTAGATTGAGAGAGAACATTTCAATTGTAAGTTAATCTATCCTAGTGTGATTTTACATATGCTATAAGTAGCAATGCCTATTTTCGTTTGCCAAATACATGAACATGATCTACATTTATTATTAATTGACTTGAATCTAACTTACAAATTTTTACAATTATTAATAGAAATTTTGTATAAAAATATTTCTCTTTTGATATAAAAGCATTTTTAATAAAATAGATATACATATTTTTAATTTAAGGATGTTCATTAAACATGGTTTTATGATCTACGTAATCCATGAGAATAGACGTAATTTTTGACCGATGAATACGGTCACATTTTAAAGACGAAGGATTAATCTAGGACTTAATTTTTCCGAATTTTTAAAAAAGCTTTATTTTATTAAAAAAAAATAGTGTTAAAAATAGTATTTTTTCAAGAATAATTTATAAACAAATAAAAAGATTTTCCAAAAATTTGACGAAGATTTATGGTAGATTCATGTTTAAAATGAGACCTCATTCATTAAAATTGGTCAAAAATTACTCCTGTTCTCGTTGCTGAAGTAAATGATGTTTTCGACATCTTTCGTTATGAAAAAGTTTATTTTTAATACTAGATATCAACGATGGAAGAGAAGCTTGTATCCTCTCTACTGATCATTATATACATGATTGATTGTAGTATGTTTATATCCGTGAAATAGTTCGTCTGTGTGCATAAATAGCCGATGGTCAAATTTTCTAAATATTTTTAAACGCAAAGAAATGCGTTTCACAGAGAAGCTACGGTAATTCAATCGGTTATTTTAATAAGCTTTCGAATAGTATTCGAGTTTCTAAAATATTGTTAAATTTTGGAAAAATTTATAATTCCTTATAGATTTTATAGATTAAAAAGATAGAGATTCTATGAGCAATGTATAGCACATTGACAAGCATCTAGATTGATAATTAAAGAAATGTTAGATTCGAGGTTATAAATGATATCGGTTATTTTTCTATTTTATCAATATAAACAAAAATAATGAATTAATTTACTCTTTTTCTCATCATTTTATAATTTAGTACGGTGTTGCTGTTCAATCTCTTATATTTATTTTCTCCAATGATGTTTGAATTTCTGACAGTGATCTCTGCCGAATAGGACACAGCAGTATAATTTTGTTCGATGACATGCGTATGAAGTATATATATTATAGTAAACATATATATTGTATATTATTTTTAAAAAAGATCAAAACACGAGTTCATTTACACATTACGAGATTTTTCTCCCAGTGCTATTTTGTTATGGTTCCCTATGTAGGACTTCACTTCACATTATTACTATTACTACTACTATTATTATAATAATATAATAATAAGAATAGTAATAAGAAAAATATTTAGAAATATATACTCATAAAATATATACTCTAGAAAATATACTCATAGAAAAATATACTCATATGCATCATAATACATATGTTGACGGTAATTTATGGTAATAAAAAGAGTAAAAAGCGTCATTTTATGTGATGATTTTATGCGCGAACTCTCAACAAATCCTGTCCTTGATAATTTCAACCCATGACTACCCAACGATAGATAAGACTAACCCTTTGCACTCTAAGCAATTTTTAATAAGAGCTTTTACCAATTCTAAGTTGTTTTTACAATGAGCTACCAGTTACTTCAGAAGTATTTGATCAAACTGATTAGAATAAGCAGATGCCAAAATATCTCCCTATATGTATAAAAATACAAAGTTGTTTAAAGTTGCCGCTGCAGCGACGACAACGCAGTGGAAAAGAAAATAACATCATGAAAAGTATCATAAAAGGTTAACAGATCATATACGATATGTACGACGTAGAACAGACCAGTTGCCAGACTGTTTTCACGTGAGCGTAGACGAAGCTATGTTTATTTGGTTAGAATAACGATTAACCATCGTGACGGTAAAGTCACAAAAAATGCCGAAATTGGCTAAGGTAAAATGATTATTATACATTAGTATATTTTATTTTAAAATTATAAATTATAGCATAAAAAACTTATAATTGTAATATTTATTCACAATTAAAATTTTTTTTAGGTGAAAAACAAGCACCCGAGAAAATTTAAGTCATAGCAAAACAGCTATTAAGAGAAGCAAAGAAAAAAATCTTTATGCAATAATTTTAAACCTATCTATAATTTTACATAGAGAACAATTCACTTGCATTCTCTTTTAGCCACCTAAGCAAAAAATATAAGATCCCCATAAATTGGCTAATTATCAATATGGAAAAAGAAATATCTATGACAACAATATTTGTAAGAATCATATGGTTATAACGAATCTGATGAAATATGCCCGATGGGAAGAAAGTTAAAAACAATGCAGAGAGCAAGGTACTTTAAATACAAAAATAGTACATTTTATAGTCTTAGTTGTATTAGAAATATTTATAAGGTTTTATATGTCCAATTTATTTTAAATCTGTATATGAACGTGCGCTAGGTGTTGATCATAGAAACATTACAGTATGGCTATATTATTTTGAAATAGAAATACACAATAAGTAAATAAATTATGCTAGAAATTTATTAGATCGTGCAGTCACAATTTTACCTAGAACAAATTAATTTTGATACAAATACACATATATGGAAGAAATATTAGAAAATATTATTGGTAAGATTTAATATAAAATTAGGGATTATTTTTTATTATGTAACTTGATTTTATAAAGATTTATTATATAAACACTTCAAATTTTTGGGCGATGGATGGAATATGAACCTGAATAACAGGCATGGCAAACATATATTAAATTTGAATTACGACATAAAGAAATACAAAGAGCTAGGTAGAGATGTAGGGAGATATATAGTTTTATAATAAATGTAGAACGAAAAGTTTATAAAGATGTTATAAACTTTTTCGGAGAAAAGAGCTTAGATGAAAAGCTACTTATAGCTTTCGCAAGATTTGAAGAAGGACAGAAAGAAGTATTATTTTAAGATAACAATATATTCAGTAACTCTGTTATAATACGTATAATTTTAATATTTCTCTGATAGCACGATAGAGCAAAAATAATTTCTATATATGCTTTAGACAATATTTCAAATGAAAGAACAAAAGAAATATATAATGCATATACCATACACGAAAAGAAATGTGGTGATTTTTCAAGTAATTCATACTATAAAGATTAAAATTTATTTAATACGAAGTATGAATTAAAAAGTTTTAATTATTAATATTAATTTGTAGAAATTTATAAAAAAATAACACAAATTTCGTAACATTTTTAAATAGGCATTGAAGATGTAATAATTAGCAAAAGAAAATATCAATATCAGCAAGAAGTCAAGGAAAATTCTTCTAACTATGATGCTTGGTTTGACTATCTGAGATTAGTAAAACCTGAAGAAAATCATAATGTTGTAAGAGCGTATGAACGAGCTATAGCAAATGTCCCTTCTACTAAGGTAATGAATATTTACATTTTAACAATTCTGAAATCAAATTGAAGTTCCTTTCCATTAAATAAATTTTGTATAGGAGCGTGGAAACGATATATCTACCTGTACATAAATTATGCTTTGTATGAAGAAATTGACACGGAAGTTATATATAGATGTCATCAAATTTACAGGTATAGTTTATCTTATATAAAATTATTGTTATATATGGAGAGATAACTTTATAATACTTTATTGTTGCGTATAAAGATAAAATTTTATAATATTTTTTTATTTTTTAGAATCTGTTTAGATCTTATTCGACATAAACATTTCACATTTTCTAAGATATGGCTATGTTATGCATATTTCGAAATACAACAAAAAAATTTGACTGTAGCGAGAAAAACATTAATATGTTATTATTATAATAATTTTTTTTATTATTTATAAGTATTAAATTATTGTATTTTTAAATATTTAATTTTATTTATTTCAAGGTATGGTATTGGGTGTTTATCCCAAAGACAACTTGTACCGTGGTTACAATGATTTAGAGACAATCTAGAGAATTTGACAGATGCAGGATTCTGTATGAAAAATTACTTGAATTTGCACCTCAAAACTGCACAACGTGAATGAAAGTAAACTACTTTTTTTATAGTTTCATTTGTCCTATGTTTTATTGTACTTATATTTATGAATTAGTTGTGTCTTAGACGAATTAAGTAATATTTTTAGAAATTACTACTAAATATAATTAAAGCTGTCTTTTTCTTTTATTTTTATTTTTTATCAAAAACATGTTTAATATTTTTATTTTTATTTTTATTATTTAGTTTGGATATGTCTGGAAGTCACTTTTATGGAAGTCATATATAGATTCTGAAATATCTCAGGATGAAATAGAAAATACTAAACAACTATTTGAGAGATTATTAGAACGAATTGTTCATGTCAAAGTAAGCTTAATTTTATGGTATGATTATATATATGTATATAAAAAACTTAATTTATAAATCTTACATTATAATACACGCGTTTGGATAGCTTATGCTAAATTTGAATTAGTTAATTCTTCATCGGGAGGTGATGTTGATAATGTTACTTTAGCTGGTAGAATTTTTGAACGTGGGAATTATCCATTATTTGCAAACTGTGACAAAGAAAGGAGAATATTACTTTTGAGAGCATGGAGAGATTTCGAAAATGAGAAGGGAGACAGAGTTAGATTAAAATTATTGTCAAAATGCCTAGAAGAATTAAACGAAGAAGACGAATGGTTGAAGGTGGAGTATGTAGTTTTTATAACATACATTAAATAGTACAATAACATTAAATAGTTTTGGAGGAATTTAAATTAAAAAGAAGTATTCTTAATTTATATTAAAAATAATCTATATTAAATAGAAGATATTCGGCTTCGGGAAAAAGTATTCGACTTCGTATTCCCAGAAGACGAATACCAAAGAGCAAATCCTAACTTTTTGGCATTAGCGAAAGCGTAGATAAAGCAAAAAATTTCTAGTGAAACTGCTCAAAACGAAAATTAACAATTAGAATCGGACAATTAAAAATAATTTATATCTTTTATATTATTAATATATTTATATTTTATAAATAGGCAATATAAGTATTGTGAAGAATTTTATATTTATCTTGACTTATTTATAAAATGTAAAAGGTATAAAATTATGCTTTGATAGTTTTTTTTTTGTATAAGTACAGTTTATATTTTATAAATAATAAACAATTTTCTATAATTTATATTTAAAATCTTTATATCTAAAATCCTGTATTATCACTTCTAATAACTTATATTTAAAAATGATAATACAGAGGTTTTACAATATATTATATTGTAAATATTACGAAATTTTACACTATATATATTATAAAATAAGGAATTTAATTAAAGATAGCATTATTTTATGCAAAGTATTCAGAGGCTATTAGAAAGGTAGTAATTTAAAATAGTTTTTTTTATTAAGAATTTAGAACAAACTTTAACTATGATCACTCCGATTATTTAGTGCAATTAACGATCGGCAACTATCTTTGATATGTGCTTGCTTATTACGTTTGGAATATCTTACTTTAAATGCGACCATAATACACAAGTAATAATCTTCAAATCATTTTAAAACAATCTTTATACATTTCCAAGAAAAATATAATTTCGATAATAATCAATAATCATATTTGATTTTGAAACTTTTTCTATGATTACAATTCACTTATCTTCCTAAATTAGCAGCAAATAATTTTTTTCTTTCTCGTCATAAAGGTGAAATAGATGCGTTTAGAATAAAATAAAAAAAAAAGATTAACTAAGATGCGAATAAAGAGTATACGGAATTTAGAGACACAATTGAGTGGTCGAAAAGTAAAGTTAATAAGGAATAAAATAGTCAATGTAATGCCTGATAAACAGACTTGGAGTGATAAGGCTTAAATTAAAATAAAGCAAATTATATTTGTGATATTGTAATATTTTTCACTTCATTTTAAAATATATTCAGGTGATACCATTATGTATGAAAAATAATAACGGTCATGTGACTACCTTGGCTCTATATGATCACGCGCATTCTCTTGGTCTATTTTTCGATTACATTCTCGTACAAATAAAACTCAATTTCATCAATGACACGAGTGATATTTTCCTCTCATCAATCGTCTAGTAACTTACTGGCCGAAAAATTCAAAGAATTCGTTATTTTGCGATGTGATCACATTATTTGGTAACCAAGATCATGTAATTTGGCTATATTTTATGAAGCTATATTAAATCTAATCTATGCCAACAAATTGCAAACGATTGACAAGTTAAGGAGCAATATTATTTAAAAAAAGACGGATGAACGAAATATTTGATGAAAGTGCAGGATCAAATTGAAAAAATCTTATTATAATACCTTGACACAATATGAACTTAATGTATATAATATAAATACGAGCCAACTCGATTAACTCCACTTTTTGAATGTTTTTAAATTTATGTATTAAAGCACTTGATGCAGTCTTCACTTTTTATATTCATAATAAATTTCTTTAATTTCCGTTATTTAATACTGATTACTGAAATAAAAAATAATTTATTTTTAACAATTATTCTAAGACTGTTCTATCTTATTCATTTTATACGTTGTTAAATGAAAGCTACGTTTGCATTTATACATTTTACAATATTTATTTAAATTTATGCTTTAAAGAGAATTGTAAAAAGCAATTTATATTATTTCATCATATTTTTGCAGTTTTTGTTTTATGGAGTTAATCGATTTGGCAAGTGAGTAGTTCATATATACAATAATCGCAAATAATAATGCAAATATATTTAAAATTATTCGTTTTATTGACAGAGAACAAGTAGATTTACGTTAAATCTAGTCAACGTTACAGACAATAGCTTCAATGCAAATAATAATAATGATTCATGCTTCGTTCATTTTATCATATTGTTTTTGTCAAAAATAATGCGTTATAATAATAAACTGGTGAAAATATTTAGAAGGAGCTCATTGATACATTTATATCTACTTGCAAAAAGTATTGCGATTCTTCGTTTTCCCTCATATTGCTATTATTATCAAATACATATAATAAACTAGTTATTGCACTACATTATTTTGAAGAAATTAATAGGTATATTTATTTTATATTGTAAAATATAAGTTTTCCTGCCGAAGCGACGAATTTTTTGTTAGTTTTAAGACTATAGAATCAAATCTATGTAGATGTACAACCTACGTTATTTTGATTATATACAATAAATACAAAAATATTTACAGTATTATTACAAGATATATAAACAGATGTTTAAACATTTACTTATAAAAAGATATTTACAAATATTCGTACGTTATGTGTTAATATATGTTCAGATCTTTATTTGATAATTTATGTGCTTTATTCGAATTTATACTACTAATGAGTCACGTAATGTAAATTAATTTCCGTTGCAAAAATATTCTCTAATCACGCAAGTGGCATGATGGCAATAAACATGAGACGGTGCGTTAACAATATTTTTTCATAATCTTTCTACGATATAGGACCACATCTTCTTAGCCCTATATGTCATTGTGATCTATTTGGTACAAGCAATTTTTTTTACTCCTCAGAAGCATTTACAAACAATTCACATACTGTATCACAAAATAAAGAGAACAGGCTTTCATGTATTGGTGTGAAAATTATTTTTGAAAATTATCAGATAATGGCAAGAAACGATTGAACACAAAGTTGTTTGTCCAATATCGTTCAAGATGTATGATTTCAGTGATAATGCAAAAAAAAAGAACAAAATGCGCATTAAGAAAACTGACATTTCTCCCGAATCATCGAATCAGTATGTACGTTTGTGTAATAAGTATGGCGGGCGAAACTGATAATGAAACATCAATGTATGTTGACTAATTTTTACAGAACAACTAATTTAAAGGATTACGGAATACGTATTCCGTAAAAGAAACGAAACGTGCGATAAACGTTGTAGATAGATGTTGGGATTTTTTTCATTCTTGATAAACGTTACATGCATCATTTTTTGCATCTGCCTGAAACAATTCATTATAATAATAAACTGGTGATAATATTATTTAAAAGAAATGACTAGATATATTTACATTATATTCCAAAAGGTATTGTAAATCTTCGAAGTACTTCGACGATTGATATGATATATATAAATATCCTTGTTTAATAGGGTCGTACTAGACACAACCCATATCTATTTTACGATAAATACATAAATAATAACAAATATAATTAGAATAATACTTATAATAAGTAGTATATAAATTTACGATGTAAAAATAAGATTTTATCCAATATTTTGTAAAAAATAATAATTAGTGAATATTTAAATATTAAATATTATTACAGAAATCAAAATATGAGTTCATTTACATACTACTTATGATGTAGAACTCTTAGCGCTTTTCTTAAATGATTTACCCCGATAGGATTAATCCATTCTGTACTACAAGTATTACTATTATTACTACACCAAATAACAATGTAACGTGATAATAGTAATAAAAATATATTTGAATATTATGTACATTATATACATTCTACTTTTTAATAGAAAAATCAATGGTGACATGTTACTATTTGGATATCTAGGGTAAACTTTTATAAGTACATTGTATTTTTAAAATACGCGTTGGAAGAATACGAGCTTTACAGGAATAAATGATTTCAGGCAGAAGGTAATCGTGATAAAAAAACGTAAGCTTTCTTCTATTCTTCCTGATTGAAAGCGATAATTTCTTTCAATCTTATCATTCCTTTTAATGTCCAAACAATAAAATTATACTACTTGTTCTGTATTGCGTCGTGTGGGCGCTGCAAATACTTTTTGCTGCAACTACGTAGAACTTGTTGATCGCCTGGCGTTTGGTTGTAAAGGATAGGCGACCTCGTGAGGCGTCTGCTTCCTTCGTTTACGTGTTAATTGGCTTCTCCTTACGCTTCTCACAGGATCAGTGTCTCCAAAATCCGATTCGAAGGACTAAAATGTTTTGTATTGCGTTAGGTGGGCACAACTATGACAGCGATTTTAAATGTGCGTCCCGCACCGGACCAGCTATGACAGTCGATTTGCACGGAGAAATATCCTCCATCTGTCCGAGTTACAAACCCACTGATCGCGATGAATAAAAGCGACGGCACTAGGCTAGGATACCACTGAAGACCGTCAGCAAAATACCGCTTGTCGCGGTCCCGCAGATTAATGGGAAAACGCGCGTTCTTTTAAAGGATCATTTGAAATTCGCGAGGTAGATGCGCGATATTAAATATTGCGCGCGTTGAAATTGATTCGATGTATATTTGATGAAATAAGTTACAATTGTTTATGTGTTTCGTGTAATAATGTGTAGGTAGTTGTACTGACTAATTCTGAATAAGACTTGAGAGCTTAGATGTCGTGTGTCTGAAAGATGTAACTTACCTGATTTTTTGGAAGTCTAGAACTATCCACACAGACTGTAATGAGATTACAGGAAATAAAAAGGGCGGAGTTGAAGTATGATCTGAGCATGGAAAGGGAAAAAATAAATGCCCATTAATCGGGGATAGTTCATTGGAATGTTTAAATATTACATGTGTGCTCCCTTTGTTCTAATGATCATGTAGATTGCAGGGTGTTAATAGATATTTTAAAGCTAGAAGCCAAATAACCCTTAACTTGTCGCGCCTAAGAATCTACTTTCACTATTTACTTATTGGCCGGCTTGACATTTTATGGAAACCCAAATACTTTACTAAGAAGCCCAGACAAAGATGGCCATATGTTTTTTATCTATGCGTTTTGTTAGCTAATATCTAATAATTTTCGAAGAGTAAAGATTTCCAATGGTGATACATGACCTTTAAGAGAAAGTACTGTGAACAATGGAGAGACGTACGTGGGCGTCAACACCACTGTCCCAGTGACGTGTAAAAGATTTTTACTTGGTACATATATCAGAGTATTAATTAGTTAAATTAAAATTAAACATGCCTAATTAATTAATTCTTTACTTGGCAATTTTTTATTTATTTTAAGATGCCACGCATTATTAGAACTTATACGAATAATAGCACATTTGCATTAAGTTTAATATGAGCCGTAGGTTCACTTTTGTCAGTCATAATTTTAGTTATATACAAATTCTATAATTTGGTCACATTATTTATGCCCAATATTAAATTGGTTATATGCAACACAATACATTTCCAATTGTATTTCGTGAAAAATACTAATTGTTTTTATATCCTGTACGTCATTTCGTTCTATCACTACGACAATATATGCGATTTTTACACTTTTTATGAAAACCAAAAATATAAAACGACTCTTTGTAAATATCTTTTTGTAATTATTCCATGTTATTATACAAAGGTAGGTCGTTTACAGTAACAGCAGTTTGAGTATTTTGTCGCTATATGATGGTGGAATAATTTTTATTTAAACGGAGATACTTGAGCTACTATAATTACGTACTATATTTTTGTGGCATTTTGTTTTTTCAACTAATAATTATGAATCATGATAAGCTTCCCATGCATGTTGTTGTACCCATCGCCGATCAACTTCGTATATTTTAAACCATGCATTTCAACGCTACAACGAAAATTCTACTATAATATCAATAAATAAACATTTTTGAAATATTTTTGATTGCGGAAGACCATTTGTGTATGGTTTATTCAATCGCAGTAATATTTGTAACGAGTATCAATTTGATCAATATATAAATTTTTTTTAATCATAAAACCAACTAACATTTTTTAAACACTTTTTAAAAATAATATTTTCTATTTTTCTCAAACAGTTGAATTATCCTGAAATGTTCATTTTATTAATAAATATGTAAAATAAATATATTTCTTTTGTATTTCTAACGTATTCCTAACACATATTCAATTGCTCTTTTTTCCTTTTTCAGCGTTGAAATGTATTAATTTATTTTCAAAATAATATTATTATATATCATAAATTCATATTATATTTTTTATAAAAATAATCACCTTAAGAGCCACGTAATTAACAATTCAAACATAGTAATATATTGGAAATACTAAAACTAGACCTTCTGACATGATTTACTTAACTGATCATTTCGGGTTATAATTTCTTTTTCAAAAACGTTCTGAATTCAAAAACAAACTATCTTCTATTCGAAATTTTGAATAATAAAACGAAGTCCACAGTAGGACATTTAATAGCGCTCGCCAGCGTTATCATAACGATGACGACTATGAATTTAATTTTAGTTTAAAACAAAGAAAAATGATAAATATATGAGATTCGACTTCAATAATGAAAATGCAAAAATCAAATAATTCTACTCGCGTACATGGGGCAATGTGGAGACAGAGACGGAATGTTACGTCGTCTCAATTTTTCAAATTTACTCTTTTATATCCATCATCATAAGAGCATTTTGAGTGACAATATAGTAAAATTAAAAAAAGACTAAACACTATTCTCGGAAGGTTCTTGTGAATCTTTGAAAGTAAATTAATAGCCTGTAGATTTTCTCGTGAGCCACGTTTTGTGCCTTTTTGGCATATACTCTCTTCTTTACTTTGTGCCCTAATCTAATTGATCATCATTCAAAATTGTTCAAGCGAAATTTGATTTCAGATTATAATATATGGAAGGAAACTTTAACATACTTGAAAAGCTACACACCTGGAAAGCGAAAACCTTTGGATAGAAATTGATTACTACGTTTTCGGGACATATCTTTTCACAGCATAAGAGAAACGGAAACTAATATATTAATTTTTGAAAATTCCGAACTAAAAATTGATTAACATATTTTTAGGCCTACGGGCTGTGATTCGACCAGTTTTCTTTTTTTAATTCCAGTTTTTTTAACATTTATGAAAAATTTAACATTATTATATGAAATCAATACTATAATATAAAATAGAATACTTCGCAAAAGAAAACTTCGTTAAAATTAGATGACGTGGAGTTTCAACCGGACACTGACAGCGGACCAATTATTGAGACATGAAAAAGTAAAGCTATTCATGGAAAATATCCTTATCAACTTAATGGTAATGGAGTAAACAAGGAAGCTTCAACGATCTGGTTGCAAAAGCTCAACTATTCCCTGAGACAGGGATTTTGCCATTGCAGTTCAAGATGAAATCATCGTGACAAAACAATATCGGCGAGCAATCTTACACGAAGACATAGAAAACTGTCGTCGGTTTTGACAGGGAATAGAATCCATAGAACATACCATAAACGAAGACTACCTCAAGCGACAAGATGATGTAATTAAGATTATGCACCAAGAGCTGGCCATGATATGTAAATTCATCAAAGAAGAAAGCCCTATTATTAGTATGAAACATATGAAGTTCTGGTCAATTTCAAGTTCAAATTGTATTGAAATCAAATGATGAGCATTGATCATGCGATCTTTGAAAATCGATTGGATATAATATGGGTTAACAAAATTTCGAGGAATTGCTGGATTTTAGATGTGGCCATACCTCTTACTGTACACATGCATAGAACATATGTAGAAACAATTGCGAAATATGTAGACCTGGCGCGCGACATAAAACAGCGTGAGAGACTAAATAATATTAGTATTGTTTCAATCATTGTATCCAGTACAAGAGTCATCCAGCAAACTGTAATCGATGAACTGAAAAAATTTAAGTGCGAATATTTGTTACAAGAAATGTCGAAAGCTGTTATACTGATGTCATGTCCTGAAAGAAGTAAGCATGAAAAAAATGTTAATAATTTTATTTGAGTGCGGTTATTAATTATTACATAAACTCTTAATGATTATTTAACATAAGATTTGATTGGTTTTACAACATAGGTTCCATTATATATATAAATTGTTAATATAGAATTTCTAACTGCTAACTGTATATTAGGTTGGGGAAAAAGAAATCAATTATTTTTGCGTGAACTTCAAGACTTTATTTAACATATTTCGAATTGTCCGATTTGGGTCAAATATGTACCGTTTATTTCTATAATTTGTTGCCATTTTAAAAGTAGCTTCATAATGCCTCTCTCATAGAAGTCTTGGTCCTTATTGACGAAAAACTTTAGTAATCGATTTTCACAATCATCTCTTGATGCCGATTTCTTATCACTCAGGAATTTTTGCAATGCGCTTGGTGCTAGGTTCGGACTATATGGTGGATGCATTCAAACTTCCCAACCAAGCTCCCGCAGTTCCTGGCGAATCACTACAGACGTGTGCGGTTTGGCGTTGTCCTTATGGAACACAATACCTCTTCTGTTGGCCAATTCTGGCCGTTTCTGGTCAATCGCTAGCTTCAAACGGTCCAATTGTTGACAGTAGAGATCCGAATTTAGTGTGTGACCATATGGAAGCAACTTATAATAAATGATTCCTTTTCAATCCCACCAAATGCACAGCAGAACCTTCCTGGCCGTTAGTCCTGATTTGAGCACCGTTTGAGCTGCTTCACCGCGCTTTGACCATGATCGTTTTCGCACAGTATTGTCGTATGTAATTTTCTTTTCCCCCAGTCACCATCCGTTTAAGGAATTGGTCGATTTCATTTCGTTTGGCAAAGGCTTCGCAGATGGAAATTCGATCCATCATGTTTTTTCGTGTTAATTGGTGTGGCACTCAAACATTGAGCTTCTTTTTGAATCCAATGTTTGGATTCCAATGTTTGAATCCATGGTTTAAAACTGTTTTATGGTCGATCTGTAGATCTTTTTTAGCTCTTGGGCGATGCTACGACTACTAACATGCCGGTCAACTTCGATTATTTCTGTGATTTTATCGACAAATTCGACGACGGGCCTGCCTGTGCGAGGTGCTTCTTTAACAACAAAAATACCTGAACGGAATCGACGAAACCACAATTGCACATAATTACCTGTTACAGTATCGGGATCATAAACACCATTCACAATTTCAGCCGCCTGGCTTGCATTTTCGCTTTCATCAAAGAAACACTGTAAAATGTACCGAATTTTCTCTTTGTTGATTTCCATTTTTAACAACCTGTAACTAACAACTGATCGGACCAAACAAAAAACAGCAAACGAAATTTTTTAATATGAAATGTCACCTTGACAATGAGCATAAATCTAAAATTGTTTGATCGATACAACATAAGAACCACCAGTTAGAATCTCGACGCCATTAGACATCCGTATATTATTTTCTTAAAACAATTATTCAATTAAATTAAAAATCTATTCAAATTTATATTTCTTTTGTAATTATAACTATTGGTTTCATTTTGTTTTCGTTATTCATTCATTTCTGTTGTTAATTTTATCAATTGCTTTATTCTGCATAAAATTGTAATCATTTAAAAGTGAAGTGTTGAATATTGAACGAACCTTTCGGATCACATCCGCCCCATTTTCCATCACCTACAAGAAGGAAGCAATCAGGTGTCAGTAGCTGAAGTCGTTGGAGCCTTCGAGTGGAAATTGGAATCGAGGTACTATATTCAAGACCCCTTTCATCATATCATCAGAAAAGGTAAGGTTAAAATGGATCTTTCTTGGTATGGTTAAATTGTCCAATTGTGAAAGAAAATTGAAGAGCCTCGTTCCCGTGTAAGATTCCGTAAGGATTGGTCGAAAAAGAGGCGCGTGACTAAGCTGAAGTAATTGGAAGGTTGTAGACACTTCTGTAGCTCTATAGCCATCTAAGACCCAACTTTAGACGTCATATTAATATATATTAAATTTTGGTAATCTCAACGCCACATGGTCACTACAAATTCACTCGTATGCCATTTGGCCTTAAGAATGCCCCGGCAACATTTCAATGCCTTTTTTTTTTTGTCAGGAGGAAAAACCTTCATAGGCCCCCTGAGCCTGAGCGGTACTCAGGAGAATGCCGGATTCAACCCGCCTGAACATACTATCAGGTTCGGATCGCTTACCGACTAAAAAACCTCCCGATACTTATTACTAATTCGCTGAGGAGAGTGAGGGTGGGCAGTATCACGCATAAGCGTATTACAAATTCGCCCAGTACCCCTCCTCGGTGAGCCAGGCCGGTATTCGCCTTGCTCTCATTCATTCATCTACATTCATACCAAAACTAAATACGGCGCTCTCGACAGGGGCCCACGAGCCCCCGGAGACGCAATTACTCCCTATCTATATACATACATATTGGCCCGATCTCCACCCCATGGTGCTCTGATCAGGCCCATTCATGCCCGTATACACACACTGTATGTATACACACACTCATACCTAGAGGGAAGCGACGTGTGAGTCAGGCACTGCCTGAGCCGCTCAGAGCCTTGCCCGAGGTGGCCGCACTGGAGCTCCTATCGGCCTATGCGGCCTATCGTTCACACTCCTGTCCACATACACATCTGCACGCTCACTTACACATCCTTCTTCTCGCGTCCGTTCCCTGCACTTCTCAACGTCCACCTTTGCACGCATGACCCGCCCTGCGAAGGTCTGGAAGGCCGTCCATTCCGTCAGGACAGTCAGGGAGACCCTGGCTATCATGGGAAGTGTTAGCTGCCTTCCCCTCATCGCACCGATCAGCTCATTCCTGGCATCTGTCCACGCCGGGCAGTCGACCAGGGTGTGCTCCGCCATATCCTCACTCCCCCCGCAGTGGAAACAACGTGGAGAGGGAATCTTTCTTATCTTATTTAAATACGCCGAGAAACAGCCATGGCCGGTTATCAGCTGTGTGGTGTGAAATGTCGTTCCGATAGAGAACGGTCTCCCAATCTACTCAGCTAACCATTCGGCAATAGCTGCCCTCGCACGCACTCCCGTTGCTGCTGGTGCTCCTACGAGCCCAAGTTCCTCAGCCTTCCACGCTTCTATTGCCCTCCTTCTGGCAAGAAAACCCAATACAGCCTTAGTACACGGGGAACAAGTTCCTCCGCATCCCTAACAGCCGCATACGTATTCGCCAGCTGGGATGCCAGATGAACGAGAGGAATAATCCCCGCGATCATCATAGCCACGTGGAAGGAGACCGTTCTATAAGCACAACACATCCGGATCGCCACCTTCCTCTGGAGGCTCCGAACAGCCCTCCCAATCCTCATGTCCTCCATGACAGCGCGCCACCACACCGGCGCCCCATAAAGGAGCACTGAGTGGATCACGCCGCTGTAGAGGCGTCGCTTCTTCTACCCCGGTCCGTGAAGGTTCGGAAGGAGCCTCCTATGGGACCGGAGGATACCCTCCGCTTTAGGGATTAGGGCCTCGAAGTGGGGTCTAAACGACATTCTTGAATCTATTATTATACCCAGGTATTTAACGCTGATTCTAATGTCTACGCAAACCCCTCTAAGGCAAATCTTAGGGGGGCGGAACATTCCTGCGTCTGCAAAAGGCAGAGGCAGGGAAATCCTAACGCAACCCTGGTAGTTCCTGACTTAATAAATATGCTCGATTTTGGTGTTAAAAATAGACTGGCGTTTTGCTGATAGACTGGGAGTTCGTTATAGCACTATTTTGATGGTCTTATCTTTACTGGTATCGGAGTGCACCTGACGATGTAAATCACTTTTCCCATTGTCACGGCCATGTAACCGGCTGATTTCATCACGTACGCGCTCATCCGGGCGCGATGTAGCCAGTGCCAAAGCGTTTTTTAACATCTGTTTTTCCAATTCGTACTTTTGTTTTATGACATCATTATATAATGCGGTCATCTGGTTCTTCATTGTCTTCTCTAGGAAAACAAATTTTGAGTTCACGTAAGCAAAAGATCAAGTTCCTCAACTAAAAGTTTTATTTTTGATGCAAATGTTCGGCCTTTACGTGTTTCCAATATAAACAATTTTGGATGTTTACTTTTTAATAATGTGTAACCATATAAATAATTTCTAGTGCAAGCGTGACGTCATGTGTAGTCAACATATAGAATGCTTCTACCTTTCTTAAAACTGTCAATTTTGTCGCTAAGCTATAGCACATTGTAATGCTCGAAGTTGCAGGCTGAATCAGTTGTCCAGAATGCATTACCCACCTCGTCTGTGATACGAGTGCCTTCCGGGAAAACGCATCTAGTTCCCTGTCGGAGAATTACGTCATTATCCTTAATTTTTACCGTGCAAAGTATTCTTCCAGGTTGATCTATACCGATTCTTGCACTAATATGTCGTCCCAAATGCCATATGGGATGGCGTATTGCCTTCCAGTGCATATAAATCCGGCCAACGTAACACTTCATTGTTCTGTAGTGCTGACTTTTAACCGCGATATTTGAAGTGTGGGAGTTATGCCTAAGACTGCTGTGTTGAACGCGGCTTTACACGATTCCGAGGACGTGTCCAACATATATACTCTTTTCCCGTTATGGATGACGGACACGTATGATGGCATTCTGAAATGTTATATCGTGTGGTCCAGTTTCACATGACATTGATGCACATACGTGCATTCGTTAGCCGGAGTAGTTGTATATAAACCTACGTAGAATTCGGCGTTTCGGTAGAGATGTCATAATCCTCAGTGTCCAACAATAATAATGTTGTAATATTTGTGATCGCTCCTCCGCAGTCGCAACCCAGGAAGGTGGCACAGATTTTGACCATAAATAGCATCGTTACCGATAATGCTAATATTTTTCCCACGTCTCTGAAACAGTTTGAATTCTAATATTTGTTTGGCTTAATTTCGATTTCCTTAATTTGTGACAATTAAATATCTTCGTTTTTCCCTTAACTTGTAATTTAATATTGTTGTGGGGTAGCATTTCTAGAATTTTGTGAGGGTCAATTTTCTGATTTCCAAATTTTAAGGTGGATTCCTTTAAAAGAAATACTTCGTCTTCCACCTTTAATACTTGAGGATTTATTTTTTGATTGTAATACCTTTTTGATCGTTCCTTGGCCTTCACAAGATTATGTCGTGCTACCTATAGTGTATGATTAATTTTGTTTATTAATTTAGTGTAGTATTGAAAATACGTCTATTTCAAATTCTCATCTAATGGCGGGTCTGACGCTGGTATTTTATATATAGTTATCTTTCCGAGAACTAGTTCATTAGGTGCGAAGCGAGTTTCTTCATGAGTACTGGTGTTATATGAGAATATCGCAAAACCAAATCATTTGTCTCAATTCTTTTCCTTCTTGACGAACGTTTTTATATATTCCATCAGTACATGGTGACACCTTTCAATCGACCTGTTAGACTACGGATAAAACGCTGTATTCTTATACTGTTTTATTTTGAATTTTCGCGCTATTGCTTTTGTAAAAGAACTTAGAAAATTTGTACCTTTACTTGTAAAAATAGCACGCGGTGCTCTGAATTTACAAATTAAATCATTGACCATTATATTCACTATGTCGATGGACGTGGTGTTACAGAGGGGTACTGTGATGGATAATTTTGTAAGCTGATCTTGGATTGTCAGGATAAATTTATTTCCCTTTGGAGTTTACGGGAGAGGATCGACAATATCCATTGTTACTTTATCGAATGCAGCACCTGGTGTGTCTGTTAGTATCATCGGACGTTTGTTATTTATTCTAACCAATTTTGCTAGTTGGCATTCTAAACAATTTTGAATAAAAAGTTATATTTGTTATTTTCATGTTATTCCAATAATAATGTTGTCTTATTCTGTTGTAAGTTTTTGTTACCACTTTATGTATACTCCTGATGCGTGATATTCTCGTACTAAATCCTCTTTCTCATGTTTCTCAGGTGTTTTTGTCAAATTTTTACAAATGCAAATCGTACAAGATTCTCCATTAAATATCTCCCCCAGCCTTTTTTCGATGTATTGTCATGGTACATTATCAACTTTGACTGTCTTTGAAATGGATACCGTACTAAGATCCACCTCTCGTATTGCCGATAATAGCGATACGAGTGCGGAATCTTGTATTTCATCACTTAACATTATGTTGTCCGTTTCCTTAATGAGTAGAGATATTAATTTGTTCTTTCAAAAATTTATTACTCTTGCAGGTCCCAGTGTTAGATCTTTATATTAAAGAAGCTTTCCAAGTTTGGCCAATTATTTAGCTCCTTCATCATAAAGAATTCAGCGCATAGTTGATAAAGATCGCTAAACTGTCTTTTTTGATCGAAATTTGATCGTGTGATTCTATCATATTCCACGAATCCCTATATGTTTCCTCTGAGTGAAGCAATTAATGTATGATGAAACGGTATAATGGACACGAGGTACAATCAAACATACTTTCTGAACTAGTGTACGAATCGTCGTCTCTTTGATTGGGGCGGAGAGAGATATTGGAACCACTACCTGACGCTTCATGTAACATTTATCTTATTTCTGAATTATCACCATTTACCTGATTTATACAGATGTTTAATGGTGTCGAAATTCCTACTGGTGGTTCTTCTCACAAGTTTAATGTTTGTTCATTTATCTTTGGTCTGAATGAATACAACGATTCGTCAGATGATGTTTCGTTTGTTGGACGAATAGTTAAGATCTGCATAGTTCCCGGAGGAATCAAAGATAGAGCATCCTCGTTTACATTAACAGTTCCCGATTAATAGATAATTGATATTGAAATTATATTCAAATAATTTAAGAGACCATTTAGTTAGTCGAGAAGTTGGATCTTTAACTGACTTTAGCTTTATTGGATAAAATCTTGTTTTTATATCGTAAATTTATATACTACTTATTATAAGTATTATTCTAATTATATTTATTATTATTTATGCATTTATCGTAAAATAGATATGGGTCGTGTCTAATACGACCCTATTAAACAAGGATATTTATATATATCATATCAATCGTCGAAGTACTTCGAACGAAAGATGATGAACAGCCTTAAAAAAATTCTTTCTCTGTGTGTTTGCAAAAATGTACACTACGAATTCTTATTTCATTCAAAAGATAAAGTTTTCTTACATGAGATTTTCATGTACGATTTTGGAAAAATGTCATCTGTGCAAAAATCATCTAGAAAAAAATAATTTGCACAAGTAATTTTCACACATATAAAAACTTATTTTGGAAATCGGAAATGAGAATATCCTGTAGAAAATCTTCATCTTTCGAATGAGTTATTAATCATTACAATCAAACATAAATTGCGATCAGGAGAATTTATGGTGTAAACCAATGCAACATGGGGCATAGATTTCATGCAGATATGCTTGTGTCGTCATCCTATATCAAGAAAATAATGTATATGAATCACGTCTAATTTTAACTCATCACGTTACTTCGAAAAATCAAGCAATAGAGTTTTAAAAAATTATATTTTTTAAACAAATATATAATATCATTAATTAATTATAATCAATGAAAATTATTATTTTATATAATGAAATATTTATATAACGAGTACGTTTCTGTAGTCCTCTCGCGTGTTACTTCTTTTAAACCATTTTGAGTATAGTCTGCTATTTTTGATTTGACCATACATATTCTATTGTTATCCCAAAATATTTTATTTGATTATATATATATACACAATAACTATTTAATTACAATATATATTTAGAAATTCATTATTATTTCTGTCGAATCCGCATAATGATATTTACAATAAATAATATTATTATCAATTGATTATTATAACGCATTGTTTTAAATAGCAAGAGCAATATGATCAGATAAATGAAAGGATGAATAACTGCAATACTTTTTACAACATGATGTAAATATATATATATATTAACTTCTAAATAATGTTATTACCAGTTTATTATTATAACGCATTGTTTTAGGCAGTGAGAACAATATGTAAAAATCAACGAAGGAGGAAGATTTACAATACCTTTTGGAATATAATGTAAATATATCTAGTCATTTCTTTTAAATAATATTATCACCAGTTTATTATTATAATGAATTGTTTCAGGCAGATGCAAAAAATGATGCATGTAACGTTTATCAAGAATGAAAAAAATCCCAACATCTATCTACAACGTTTATCGCACGTTTCGTTTCTTTTACGGAATACGTATTCCGTAATCCTTTAAATTAGTTGTTCTGTAAAAATTAGTCAACATACATTGATGTTTCATTATCAGTTTCGCCCGCCATACTTATTACACAAACGTACATACTGATTCGATGATTCGGGAGAAATGTCAGTTTTCTTAATGCGCATTTTGTTCTTTTTTTTTGCATTATCACTGAAATCATACATCTTGAACGATATTGGACAAACAACTTTGTGTTCAATCGTTTCTT